AACACCCTGGGGTGGAGATCATCCGGACCCGCTGACTTGAACGCGTCCAGCCCCTCCAGAAGCTCTCTAACCCGGTCCTCCCCAACCTGAGGTCTGAAGGCGATCCCCTCAAGTCCGGCTTCTATCACAGCAGGGAAGTCCCGGTCCCTGCACAAGAAAATCAATCACACCATTTAAAATAATTTGTGTGATCCTAGATTGGGTATGGTGAATGTCTGCACATACCCACTGTGAAGACTTTAGAAGCATTCAGGCATTTGTTCCTGTGCACAGGAAAGATCTTCCTGGTTCAAAGAAGATTTTTCTCTGGCACGTTTCTTGTGAAGAAACTGAGTGAATGCCTTTATGATCCCAGCTTCTAGCTGGCATTTCTTCCACTAGAACTGTAATGTCTGCCCACACCTTTTGAAAAATGCGCAGTAGTGTTTGAAAACAAGAAGTAAACAAAATATTATTTCACTGATTTTATAGATTTTCATAAACATTAGGGCTGGAAAGGACCTCAGAAGATCATTGAGTTCAGCCCCCTGTCCCAGGGGCAGGAAGTCAGTTGGGGTCACAGGATCCCAGCAAGATAAACATCCAAATGTCTCTTAAAGGAGTCCAGAGTAGGTTCTTGCACCACCTCTGGTGGCAGTCTGTTCCAGGCCTTGGGGGCTCAGACAGTAAAGAAGTTCTTCCTTATGTCCAGCCTGAAACAGTCTTGGAAGAGTTTGTGACTGTTTGACCTTGTCATCCCTTGGGGCGCTCTGGGGAACAGGCATACCCCTAGATCCTGATGTACACCCCTTATATACTTTTAGGCAACCACCAGGTCCCCCCTGAGCCTATGCTTTTCCAGGCTGAAGAGCCCCATGGCTCCCAGCCTCTCATCATAAGGGCCTGTTTTCCTGCCCTCTGATCATGCGTGTGGCTCTCCTCTGGACTGTCTCAAGCTTTTCCACATCCTTTTTAACTTGTTGAGCCCAGAATTGGATGCAGTACTCCAGCTGCAGCCTCACTAAGGCCGAGTACTGTGGGAGGATGACATCCTGGGATTTGCTTGAGAAGCATCTATGGATGCAAGCCAGAGTTTTGCTTACTTTACCAGTTGCAACATGCATTGGTAGCTCATATTCATCTTGTGGTCAATCATGACCCCCAAGTCCCTTTCATCCGTGGAGCGAGCCAGCGTAGCACTGCCAAGCCTATATACATCATGACCTGCAGCATGCTTAATGAATGGGATGGTGAATATAGAATATTATAATCTATTATGTTTACCCTATATCAAAATGGACATAGTAAAGTTAGAAGGGTATTAACTACAGGAAGTGAGAAATATTAGGAGTATATAAAAAATCTACTATTAAAACAGGGAGAGGTCAGGACTGACTAGCATAGAGGTCTTCTAAACTATTTGTCTCTCTTAAACAAGGATTACTTCAAAGAGAGAAGTAGCTTCCAAATACCAATTTAATCTTAAACAAGTTAAGATTACCAAATACCAATTTAATCTCCTCTTACACAACATCAGGAAAGAGAAAGAAGTTAAAGAAGACAAACCTTTAAAAAAAAAAGAAAATAAATTGTGTTGACCACAAAAATTAGTAAAAAAAAAATAAAAAAAGGACTGTGCAAAGAAGGAAAAATATTTTCACAAGATTTCTTTGGCTCCTTCATCCTTCCTCACAATTTCTACTAGTCTTAGTTTCAAATTACACACTTTTGATTGCTTAAGAATGGCTACCTCTCCCCTCTCCTCATGTTTTCATTTTATATTCCCAAATATTTTAAAAGAAAGTTTTCTCTTCTCCAAGTTCAGCCCTTCCCATCCTCCTCAATTACAGACTGAAGCTAGAAAGCTCTTAACTGAAATTTTTAATGGTACAAAATACATGAAAAATATAACAACTACGTTATTACTATTATTAACAAGAGTAAACGTAGCATCTAATTGCTTCATCACTTTTGTGCATCATTCTCCATTGCTGAATCCTGTTGTTAACCTTTGTCCTGTGCTAATCAGACAATGCCATGTTATCTGAGCAGGGCTCTGAGTCTTATGCTTTAGCTTGTTGATTTGAACCAGCACAAAATGTGTTGGAATTGTTCACAGAAAAAATATCAAAATAAATTTGATGGAATTATTGGGGTAATTGAGGGGAGAATTTGGTTCAAAGCATTAAAGATTTATTTTTCTTAACTGAGCTTTGAATATCAGGATTGTGGCTAAGACAGGCAACCTTAAAGAGCTGAAAACTTGTTTTCTTTTTACCAGCTGAAGCCACAGTTACATTGGAGGAAGAGCTGGCCCGGGGTCATGGACAGACAGTGTCTGAACAGCAGCCACTCAGGAGATTCTGCATATATAAATAAAAGAAACAAACTGATTCATGTAGGCCAACAAGGAGCAGCTCCTGTATTGTTTCAGTGTGCAGCATCTGCTCTCTTCAGAATGCACCCGTGTTATCAGGTGAAGAATCAGCCACACTTTCTACCATCCCAGCCAGATCTCCTTTTGGTGGGATATATCTCATGCATGCACTCTCCAAGTCATTAGACTTGACCTGAACACAAATAGAGCTTGCTGGGAATTTTCCAGGGAAATGTTTTTCATTGGAAATCTTTTCTTGGAGACAATGTGGCTTTGAAAGATTTCATATGAAAAAAAAAAAGTCAGGTTGCCAATGACAACCTGGTTTCAGGACCCCTAGGGGTTCTGAGCTCCCTGCCAGGGAACCAGAAACCCCAAAATCCTTGGGTCTATCAGGAGTTCTCAAGGTCAGGATGCCTGGTTTCTCAGGTCTTCCAGAGCTTCTGGGGTCCCTGGTGCAGAGCAAAGACATTAGAAATATTGGTTGTAGAGGTTTCCAGGTTTCCTGATATGCAGGTAGAATCTAGAAGCTCTGGAAACCCTGCCTAGAACCAGAGCATTTAGGGTTTCCAGACGCTGCTCAGTAGTGGGGACACCTCAGCTCTGAGGTGGAGGGTTTCTCCAGAGGAAGGGATGGTG